ACTCCTCATCTCAAAATGCAGACATGAAAACAAACTTTTACGACGTTACTTAAAAATCAAAAACTGAAACCAAGCAAGACTAAATGAAAATACATAAAATAAAACCAACAAAAACAAACAAAATAAATTAATCCAAATAAGTAAGTAAATGAACTCAGTAAATAATAAACAAATTAACAAACAATGCCAACCAAAGTAACTGTTAGAATAATACAATAGACTACCCAAAATGCATCAATGACCTCTATATATAAAAAGTCAAGCAAAAAAAAAACAAAAAAACAAACCTAGTGCACATGGCCTGATGATTGTGTTTAGCATGAAAGACTGTTGCCTCTCGGTGTTAATTACTTAAAACTATATATATATATATACATACATATATTTATTCTCTCTCTGAAGTTTAGAACTACCCTTTGGATTTAATAACTAGCAATTTTCATACCTTCTTTGGTTTAACTCCTAAGTTAAGATGCTGAAACTATTTAATCCTTTAGTGCATGGAATCTTTTTTTATGAGAGGGAGTTATCTAAAATCTACTGGTCTTAAGATTAATATTATCTGTCAAGGTAGATTAGGTAAAAAGAGCTAACATATTAAAGAATGTTCATGCAGAAATGGCTTAATTTTGTTATTATTATTGAATATATAATAAAACTGTTCAGTAAGAGAAATTGCCTCTGGCCCAAAGTAATCTCATAAATTAGTTTTGAAAAAGGCATGTAACATTTAATTTTTAGGTGATTCTTCAAATTCCATAAGGTGGTCCCAAACTTTTGGCGTATAGTGTGTTTGTGTGTGTATTAGATATGCGGGTGTGCATGTAGCATTATGGTTATCAGTGTCAAGAGGGGGACTGGCATGCTAAGTTCAAATTACAGCTGAAGCCATTGCACTGACTTTTGCACAAATACCCTCTTAATAAGGGATTAGTCCATCTCTTCTACACCCCCAGCTAGGGGTTAATAGCAGAGCAGACTAGGCTCTATGATTTTTGTTGGTAACCAGTCTAAGAGAGAGACAATTCTGAATTCAAAATTAGTTGGGTTAGCAACACTACCTCATAAAAACTTACATTTAGTGTGGTGAGAATCAACATGGTTGACATTATAGAGACCATATGTTTATTTCTTTTTCTTTTATATTTTGGATTGTTTTCCTGGTTTAAAGTGAAAATTTATATACAAATTCTCCAGTATGTGAGTACTTCCAGCTTTGATAAAGCATTACCAATGAGTTTGTTTCTCTTGTGCTATATCAGTTTTATCATTTTTTAAATATTGTCTTCACAAGTCACATCAATTTTTTAAAGTAACACATCTTCAGGTATTGTGTCACTTTTTAAATATACTTCCATACTAAACAAAAAGCAACATAATGATACAAGCTGGCACATAAAGACATAGTTATATGTGAATATGCGATATTTGAAAAAGTTAAAAGTTGGCATAGCACAAAAATTAACAATCTGATCATGGCTTATGTAAGCCAAAGGTACTCGGACATCATACAATTGATATTTTACTTTTCACCAGAAACCAGGAAAATATCACAAACACTTACTTCCATAATTTCAATGTCCTCATTCTTTGATTGTATTCTTACAGAAGACTGTGCACCTTTGAACCTTATTCCTTCCACATGAAGTCATAAAAAAAAAAACATCTGAATGATCACATCCAGTCACATAATTCTTCCAATGACATCAACATATTTTATGAAGGATGTTTACATGAAGTTTTAGTTGTGCCTGATAATGGATCTCTCATGCACTGACTGCCTTTTATATTACTCATCCAAGTTAAGCTATTCACCAACATCAAAGTAATCAAAAGTATTCATTAAATCCACATCAATGGCAACTCCAGCTCTCTTCAATACAAGCAGAACTTCCACTGTTGGTAATGATTGTAAAAATGCTTTCACCTGGCTGAAACTGTAGCCACTATCACAGTTGCCTCTAATTGACCTTGCTACAATAGCTAGCTCTATGACTGCTTGGTTGTATCGGAAGGAAATCAAATTTAGCTTTGGATCTTTGCAATCCTTAATGTTATGAATCCTTCCAAAACTTAAAATACTTCCCCTTGAATAGTCAAGCTTTTCCCTCTCATCAAAATTATTCAAAGCTTGTTATTTTATTATATTAAATCCTCTCGTCACCATCATTGAAAGATCTTGTGTTCTGATTAACATCAATATTAACCCTGGTCACCAAATCTCCGACAGACATAATTCCAATGTCCATCAACTTATGTATATTGTTACCAGAAGTTCTTCAAAGAAAACAGACACAATTTTCACTTCTCCTCCACTGCATATATCTAAATGAGTTTTAACCTCTTGATCTTATTCGTATGTTTCACCTTGCCTAACTTCATATGCACTATAAATTAAGTCTATGTAAAAGTCTGTTTAGTTTATCTTGTATTCAAGCAACATCATCCATTTCTGAATATAAGACGAGTACATCCACCTTTAGACAGATGTGTAGAAAAGTTGCCAAATCCTGTAGATTCTGCTATTTTTACTAATTTTGCCTTCTTTAGCCAAACAATTGCACATCCTTTGTTACTAAAGAGCTTTATTATCTCACTACTACAAATCAACTGTTTACTGGATTTACTTACAAAACAGCAAGTTGTTACATAGAAAAAAAAGAAAGAAAAGAACGAAAGAAATCTCTTTTTTATCACTATTCTGCTATCAAGAAAAATTCACTCAGTGAGTGCATGGAAAAAAAAATAAATAAATAAACAAGGAATTTTTAAAACCCACTCAGATTTTGACAACACAAAAAAATGTCACTCAGTTCTAACAGCCAAGGGAAAGGGAAAAAATTCAATATACTGAAAAACCAACTATTCCTTGACAGATTTTTTTGAGGTGAGAGGGGAGCTGCTACCTTTTTTGCATCAGTTCACATTGATATATATCAATGAATGGTATTAACCCGACTTTCACTTCTCCCTGTTTGCTAATATTCATAGACTGGACACTTTCCAGATAGCCTGTCTGTGTATAATGTGTGTGTCTGGAGATATATCTCCAGAGCTTAGAGTCATTGGACTAAATAGGTCTACACATTACTTATCCACCACCCCATGTAAGAGACTACTGTTCATAGTTTTTTTTTTTTTCTTCTTCTCACCCAACCAGTGTTCTGTTAGTATAAATGTTTCATTCCTTTTGCATTTATCTGCATTCTGGTTGGCTGATGATGACAGTAGTATGAAACTCAAGTAGCGGTCTGAACTCCCCCCCACCCAATGGTGTCACTAGATAGTGTGTTGTTTTGTCATTGAGCACTGTCTACTATTGTTTAGGTTAGTGCCGCCTGTCTTTTGAACTTTTCTTCTCAGCTTATGTTTAATTTTTCTTTTTGTTTTTATTTTTATTTTCTTTGGTCACTTGGCAGTCTTTTTTTTTTTTTTTTTTTTCTTAGAGTTTACCAATACTTCAGTTCATTATATCAGAAAAAGATACTGCGGATATACTTTGCATTCTTGCTTCCCTATTATATAAAACTAGTGTAACTGTGCCATCAAAAATGGCCACAATTTTTTGAAAGTTTTAACAGCAAGATGCAATGAAACAAACCACTTGAAACAATGTATTGAGATTCAATAAAGCAGAGATAAAGAATGCAGAACTAAAATAGAGGCCAACAAATGTTCAATGGTATCTATGAGTCAATGATTATTCCTGGTATAAAATAAATGACTTTTTGCTCAATATCTTTTCATGTTAAAAATTTTATTTTTATAACAATGAAATGGAAATATCTCTTGGAAGAAAGCTATTAATACAGAATAACAAAAACAGTGATGACAAAGTCTATTTCAATTCAAAATTGAAGCAAGATGATCATTTAAGAGATAAAAGTATCTGAGTGCCTTACATGAAAGGCTTGAACAAATAAGACTGCAATCTAAGAACTGTAGTAGTAAAGGGACTTATTAATAAAATGATTACTCAGGAAGTAATTTTGTCTAAATGCAGATAAATATTTTATTTGTAGTGATTATTAAAATGACTAAGAGAAGTAATCCATCATAAATTTACTAACTTAAGTTGATTTACCCACTTTCCACTAGATGAGACAGAAAATATAAATAATACACATTGATAATTATTATATGGTTTAAATTTGTCTAAAAGACTGACTATAGTGTTTGGTTGGTTGATTCGTTTTCTACAGATTATCAGCCGGTTGCAGGTTATTTAAAGCCAGAAAATATTTTTTTAGATTATAATAATTTTTTTTTTGAGATAATGGTTAAGTGATATAAGCATTACTAATTAACCCATAGCTGAGAGGAGAAGAGGTAGATTCTTACATTTCCTAAGGTTATTTGTGTGTAAGTTAATACAATGAACCCAATGGAAATTAGAACTTGGCTCTACAGTTAACAATTCCAAGCCATTATCTATTCTACTACCCACACATTCAAGTTTACAGCACCTGCAGTCAGCCATCTAGGTACTAACCAGACTCAATGTTGCTTACCTTTGGTGATAATATGGGAACCAGTGTTTCAACGTGATGTGGCTGTAAGCCTGACTATGGTCTTGTTTGAATAATGTACAACACACTTATATAAATACATTTTCTGTATTCTGTCCAATGTGAGTTGTACAATTCATGTGATTTTTTTTTTTTTTAAACTCTTTGCTACATATGTTCTCATAAGGGAAACCATTAGCACTGAACAAAAACCCATCCTTATATAATTAAATATATGATAGACTGCTATTCTTCACTGATTAAGGAAGTCATCATGAAGAAACCTGATTAAATGTAGTGATTAAATGACAAGTATTATAACTAATGAGCAATAGCTGTAAGCCATTTTCTGTGCTCATGAAGAAAATAAAAGATAACACCTGTTTTCCTTTATTGCCAAGTGATCAGCCATGTTGAATTGTCAGTTTAAGAAAACTTTTATGAACTTTAATTAAATTTTCAAAAAGTCAATTTAAAATATGGAAAAAATATTCAATTAACCACAACGGGAGAAAGAGAGAAAGGGTGGGAGAGAGAAAAGGGAGAAAGAAAAACACGAGAGGGAGAAAGAAAAACATGAGAGAGAGAAAAGGGTGAAAGAAAAACACGAGAGAGAGAAAAGGGTGAAAGAGAGAGAGAGAAGGAGAGAGAAAGGGAGAGAGAGAGAAAAGGGAGAGAGAAAAACAAAGAGAGAGAAAACACGAGAGAGAGAAAAGGGAGAGAGAAAACACGAGAGAGAGAAAAGGGAGAGAGAAAACACGAGAGAGAGAAAAGGGAGAGAGAAAACACGAGAGAGAGAAAAGGAGAAAGAAAAACACGAGAGAGAGAAAAGGAGAAAGAAAAAACACGAGAGAGAGAAAAGGGAGAAAGAAAAACACGAGAGAGAGAAAAGGGAGAAAGAAAAACACGAGAGAGAGAAAGGGAGAAAGAAAACACGAGAGAGAGAAAAGGAGAGGAGAGAGAAAAGGGAGAGAGAAAAAGAGAGAGAGAAAAGGGAGAGAGAAAACACGAGAGAGAAAAAAAGGAGAGAGAGAAAACACGAGAGAGAGAAAAGGGAGAGAGAAAACACGAGAGAGAGAAAAGGGGAGAGAGAAAACAAGAGAGAGAGAAAAGGGGAGAGAGAAAAAACAAGAGAGAGAGAAAAGGGAGAGAGAAAACAAGAGAGAGAGAAAAGGGAGAGAGAAAGACGAGAGAGAGAAAAGGGAGAGAAAAAACACGAGAGAGAGAAAAGGAGAGAGAAAAACACGAGAGAGAGAAAAGGGAGAGAAAAACACGAGAGAGAGAAAAGGAGAGAGAAAACACGAGAGAGAGAAAGGGAGAGAGAAAACACGAGAGAGAGAAAAGGGAGAGAGAAAAACACGAGAGAGAGAAAAGGAGAGAGAAAAACGAGAGAGAGAAAAGGGAGAGAGAAAAGGAGAGAGAGAGAAAAGGGAGAGAGAAAACACGAGAGAGAGAAAAGGGAGAGAGAAAAAAGAGAGAGAAAACAAGAGAGAGAGAAAAGGTGAGAGAAAACACGAGAGAGAGAAAAGGAGAGAGAAAAACACGAGAGAGAGAAAAAGAAAGAAAAACACGAGAGAGAGAAAAGGGAGAAAGAAAAACACGAGAGAGAGAAAAGGGAGAAAGAAAAACACGAGAGAGAGAAAAGGAGAGAGAAAAACAGAGAGAGAAAAAGGAGAGAGAAAAAGGAGAGAGAAAAACACGAGAGAGAGAAAAGGGTGAGAGAAAACACGAGAGAGAGAAAAGGAGAGAGAAAACACGAGAGAGAGAAAAGGAGAGAGAAAAACGCGAGAGAGAGAAAAGGGAGAGAGAAAAAAGAGAGAGAGAAAAGGAGAAAGAAAAGAGAAGGGGGAGAGAGAGAAAAGGAGAAAGAAAAGAGAAGGGGGAGAGAGAGAAAAGGAGAAAGAAAACACGAGAGAGAGAAAGGGGAGAGAGAAAACAGAGAGAGAGAAAAGGAGAGAGAGAAAACACGAGAGAGAAAACACGAGAGAGAGAAAAGGTGAAAGAAAAACACAAGGGAGAGAAAAGGGAGAGAAAAAACGAGAGAGAGAAAAGGGAGAGAGAAAACACGAGAGAGAGAAAAGGGTGAAAGAAAAAACACGAGAGAGAAAAGGAGAAAGAAAAACACGAGAGAGAGAAAAGGGGAAAGAAAAAACACGAGAGAGAGAAAAGGGTGAAAGAAAAAAAACACTTAGAGAGAGAAAAGGGTGAAAGAAAAACACGAGAGAGAGAAAAGGGTGAAAGAAAAACACGAGAGAGAGAAAAGGGTGAAAGAAAAACACGAGAGAGAGAAAAGGGTGAAAGAAAAACACGAGAGAGAGAAAAGGGTGAAAGAAAAACACGAGAGAGAGAAAAGGGAGAGAGAAAAGGGAGAGAGAAAAACACGAGAGAGAGAAAAACACGAGAGAGAGAAAAGGGAGAGAGAAAAACACGAGAGAGAGAAAAACACGAGAGAGAGAAAAGGGAGAGAGAAAAACACGAGAGAGAGAAAAGGGAGAGAGAAAAACACGAGAGAGAGAAAAGGGAGAGAGAAAAACACGAGAGAGAGAAAAGGGTGAAAGAAAAACACGAGAGAGAGAAAAGGGAGAAAGAAAAACACGAGAGAGAGAAAAGGGAGAGAGAAAAACACGAGAGAGAGAAAAGGAGAGAGAAAACACGAGAGAGAGAAAAGGGTGAAAGAAAACACGAGAGAGAGAAAAGGTGAAAGAAAAACACGAGAGAGAGAAAAGGAGAGAGAAAACATGAGAGAGAGAAAAGGGGAGAGAGAAAAAAGGGAGAGAGAGAAAACAAGGAGAGAGAGAGAAAAGGGGTGAAAGAAAACACGAGAGAGAGAAAAGGAGAGAGAAAACGAGAGAGAGAGAAAAGGAGAGAGAAAAAACACGAGAGAGAGAAAAGACGAGAGAGAGAAAAGGGAAAGAGAGAAAACACGAGAGAGAGAAAAGGGAGAGAGAAAACACGAGAGAGAAAAGGGTGAAAGAAAACACGAGAGAGAGAAAAACACGAGAGAGAGAAAAACACGAGAGAGAGAAAAGGGGTGAAAGAAAAAAACGAGAGAGAGAAAAGGTGAAAGAAAACACGAGAGAGAGAAAAGGAGAGAGAAAACACGAGAGAGAGAAAAGGAGAGAGAAAAACACGAGAGAGAGAAAAGGGTGAAAGAAAATGAGAGAGAGAGAAAAGGGTGAAAAGAAAAAGGGAGAGAGAAAACTTTAGAAAGAAAAACAGGAGAAAGAGAAAACACGAGAGAGAGAAAAGGTGAAAGAAAACACTGGAGAGAGAGAAAAGGGGTGAAAGAAAAACACGAGAGAGAAAAGGGTGAAAGAAAACACGAGAGAGAGAAAAGGGTGAAAGAAAAAAACACGAGAGAGAGAAAAGGTGAAAGAAAAACACGAGAGAGAGAAAAGGGTGAAAGAAAAAACACGAGAGAGAGAAAAGGTGAAAGAAAAACACGAGAGAGAGAAAAGGGTGAAAGAAAACACGAGAGAGAGAAAGGGGGAAAGAAAACACGAGAGAGAGAAAAGGAGAAAGAAAACACGAGAGAGAAAAGGGTGAGAGAAAAACACGAGAGAGAGAAAAGGGAGAGAGAAATACACGAGAGAGAGAAAAGGGAGAGAGAAAAACATGAGAGAGAGAAAAGGGAGAGAGAAAAACACGAGAGAGAGAAAAGGGAGAGAGAAAAACACGAGAGAGAGAAAAGGGAGAGATAAAAACACGAGAGAGAGAAAAGGGTGAAAGAAAAACACGAGAGAGAGAAAAGGGAGAAAGAAAAACACGAGAGAGAGAAAAGGGAGAAAGAAAAACACGAGAGAGAGAAAAGGGTGAAAGAAAACCACGAGAGAGAATGGGAGAAACACGAAAGAATGGAGAAAAAAAAAAACGAAAGAAAGAAAAAGAGAAATGAAAGAAAGAAAAAGAATGTTTTATTTTCTCCTGGTTAAGATAGTTTTGCTGTTTTCAAACCAAATGCTGTTGCTTAATGTATTGTTCATAATTAAAATAAAATTAAAAAATCCAAAACGCATCACACTGAAATAAATAAAGGGAATGTATATAGGAACAAGAGAGAGAGAGTGGAAAGTAAGAGAAATAAACATGGATGAAAAAAATCTTAACAGAATAAAAGCAAAAAATAAACAAAAAAGTCAGAAGAAAGAAAGAAAGGAAAGAGGCTAAGAGGAACAGCACCAAAGAAGGTGAACAAATCAAATGAAAAGAAAAAGGAAAAGAAAACAGAAACAAAAAAAAATTGCCTTGTGGCCAAGGCTTGTATATTTTCTACTGGTGCAAAAGTTGGTAAAACCATAATTTCAAATGCATCTTGAAAGATTGGCGCAACATAATCTTCCTTACAGTATCCGCCCCCCCACTACAATTTGAGTTTATGCCTTGTTATTAAAGCTTAAGAAATATTGCTATTTCTGGTCTGCTTTATAAATTGTAAAAAGCTGATGTTCAAGCCCAAGTTAAATACTATGTTTGTTCCTGACAGTATGGCCCTCCCCAGTTGGAAGATTGGTGCAACACAACCTCCTTCCTCATCATTTGGTCTTGTTTAAGATAGTAAAAATAGAAAGAGTGACAAGCAGAAAAAAAAGAAGCAAATAAAAGAAAGAAGGAAAGAGAAAAGAAAAGCAAACTAAATGAAAGAAAGAGTGAAGAGAAGAAAAACTGCAAATAAGACAGAAAGGCTGTTCATTAATTAACAATCATGTGTTGAATAGAAACGAGAAACGAAAGAAGCCAAATAATTGCATTTTATCTTTTTTCTTTTCTTTACAGAACACCTGTGCATATTTGAGGTTTAATGCGAATAACAAACACGTGTAGTATATTGATAACCACTTTATATTTCTGTAATAAAAGGTTTTGGAAAGTATATATGTAGACATAAATTATTCATGATGGAAATTTTTATTTTAGAGTCAAAGAAACTATGATGATGGCTGATCAATATTTTTGTAACCTGACACAGTTTTGAACTGAAATCTGATCTAAAATTTCCATTATATAATGTTCAGGTTGTGATCAATGGGAAAAATGTGTACATGTTTTAACAAGAAAGGATAACTATACTGAAAGTATTTGTCATGTCAAATAAATGTTTTTCACCATTAGACGATCACTTATTGTAGGCCTGAAAATGGATAGGTACATAGACAGGCACATGCACATGGCAATGGATTAATAAGTTTGTAACTTAACATGTAGCTATAATCTATAATTTGAGATGAAATTTCAAATCTATAATTATGGCAAAAAAACATTAATCATTAATTAACCACTGAACTGACAAAGAAATTTAAAATAAATGCTTTTTTCAACAGTAGGCTGTATACTTATTGAATTAGTGTGTGAGTGTATGTAAGATAAAAGATATAGTTTTAAGGTAAAATTTGTAGGTAAAATTGCTCAATATCAGTGATAGAGCTTATGTAAATATAAAAGTGAATACTGATTAGCAACAGTCTGTTTCAATCTTGAACACAATCTCAGGCCAAGTGTGTTGGCCCAACTATTTATATGTCAATGTGAAGTAATTGTGGATCTGAATTGTTCCCTTTTATATATACAAACATACAAGGCAGCAAGTATTCATCCAAACAAGATTTATTAAATTTAAAAGCCTGTTTAATTTGTATTTTTCCAATTTTCAAATAAGACATAAGAACATTTTTTTTTTTTTAGAAAAGAGTACTGAATTGTTACATAATATCAATCCTACTATATGGTACTGAATGTTGGACAAAATCCTCACAGATGAAGACTTGAAACAATATAAATGTAGTTCTACAGAAGGATGCTGAGAATATCATGGACAAACATTTGAGAAACAAAAAGTTCACTTACACTTAACATCAGGAAGAGACAGTTGAAATTTCCAGGGTACATAATCAAGGAAGAGGGCTTGGAAAATTTGATAGTCACAGGATAAATTGAAGGTAAAAGGGACAGAGGAAAACAAGACATAACCTACCTAGTGAACTTGATTAAATGGATGGTAGGACAGGATTTAAGAGAGATAACAAAAAATAAAATTTATTAAGAGCTACAAAGAAGAAGAAACTGTGGAGAGCCATGACTGCCAACATCATGCAGGGATATAACACAGCAAAGTAGAAAATATCAGGGTCAAAAATGAAGATAAATTATCTGAAGTAAACATTTGTTCCATTGTTATTGATCAAGTAATTTTGTCTGTATCAGTCATTAACAGTCATTATACAGTGCGCACCCAATGAAAACAAAAGACTCAAAATCTTTGAAGCTATTATACAAAATAAAAACAACACACATTATATAAAATATCTTTCACTACAGGAGACAGTATGTTATGCATAGAATATTTAATATGCAAAAAGATAAAAAAAATAAAAAATACGCATAATATCGAAGCATTCTTTTTCAGTTTGGTCTCAGTCACTTTAACAGTTAAACTTGACATCACTTTCAACTGATTCAAACTTGGTGCTCTCTAGAAAATACCAGAATGTACTAAATGGAATTTTGCCTATGACACTGACAGCACATGGTTCTTGAAAATGCAAGAGATATTTGAACATACTTGAACAGTAACAAAAGAACAAACTTTGGAAAGTTTATTCACAATATTAATCACGATAGACATCTTATTCAAAAACTGAAAAAAAAAAACAAAAAAAAAAAATTAAACAGAGAGACCTTGTTGGTTGAATTTAATAAAATTTGTTTGGTGATACACACATTTGCGTATATATATATATATATATATATATATATATATATATATATATATATATACATATATATATATATAAAGATTGGCCTATTTACATCAGTCTTTCTAATACAATTTTAAAAATACTCTTAAAAGCTCTTATTTTTGAAATCCTACTCAAAATTGCAAATGAATTTTGTATTCAAGATACTGAGGATAATTTTAACATCATAACTAAACAAATATAAAAACCTAATTTTTACATTAATAATAAGACTTGGGGAAAATCAATTTCAATCAAAAAAAATGTTATCTTTTATTTCCCTCCTAGCCATCAATTAATAAGACATCACTACTTACTTGCTGTCTCAACTGTTAATCATGTGATTAAATCATGAGTAAGCTTTTACTTTTATTAAAAGGATTAAAGTACATTTCTTGCAAAGATAATACTGAATATATTATAACCAGGTAGATATTTACTTATGCAGCAAAAAAGGTACTTATATATATATATATATATATATATTTACACATGCTCTATCTCTGATATTGAGCACTTTATCCCATAAGTATAGCACATCTTAAAACTATATATATATACACACACACACTTTATTTTAGGATAATTACATCAAAATAAAATAAAGAATACAGCTCTTTTGCATTGAGCCCTCTTTTAAATTAACGTTATGAATGTTGGAATTTATATTTTATTCATTGTTATTTCATTTGGATATATATGTATGTGTACTTGTTAATATTTATGTTAATTATTTAATTAAATTATGAAGAAATAATTGCTCAATTGAAATATAATATAATTTGAATTTAATACAGTTTATTGTTTTGATTTTTTGCATACAGTGCTCAGAATACTGAGGATAGAGCCATATATAGTGTAAGATGATATTTTCAGATTGTACTAAAGATGTCACGAGCATATTTGTTACTGTAAGTTTCCTGGTAATCAAGCATGCAGTGTAATCCATCTGTGCTTCAATAAAACTGATAATTAGATGCATATAGTCTTAAATACATGTTTGATTTAAACATGAAACTTTTGTTAACATTTTTAGTATAATCTTAACCTTTATCACACTGTATGTGACTTCATTTGCTGTACAAAAAGTTTTTCCTGCCACTCAAGATGACTTATCCCTGAACAATAGTGTATTTGGATTTCATAGTTGTTGTCATATCTTGCTATGACAACTGAAAACAACTGAGTGGAATTAACAATAAGGATACTGCAATTGAAATGCATTGAAAAAGAATGCAGTGGAAAGGGAAGTAATGCAGAATGCTAAAAGTTAATAGTTAATGTCATACTGTCAGTTCCCTAACTAACCTATCCTAACACACAGACTGTAAGCTAATCCCACACCTAGCCTCACCAATATTATCATCAAACATTTTTAACAATAATAAAAATTGGTTTTATATATACTTAATAATCTTACTACTTTTAGGTAGATATATATTCTTTTCATATTTAGAGATTGACTTCCAATATTCATCATCTGAACTAAAATTATGTAAATAGTAAAAAAAAATAATTGGTTCATGTGATGACTGTCCAGTGTAAATTGTTTAGTGTTGTTTTGTTAACACAGTACAGAAAGTATTTTTTTTACTTCCTTTTGTTTGTTCCTTTTGTAGTTTAGGTAGGTACCTTTTAGATTACTCACTGTTCTGGTTACCCCTTAGCATATCACCAGTACCCTCACAATAAAACTATGACACCAAATACGTGGTTGGTAGTTTTATAATTCACCTAATCCCCAATGTTAACCATCACCGATTTGTAACTTTTAATACCTTTTCTCTTTACATTTGTCTATTTTATTTCCATATTATTGTTTGAGCATTTGTTTAAAGTAGACATAATTTATATGTTTGTATCTCTCTGTGTAGAATCCTTTCAAAATGTGTCCACAGACATGGTTGCAAAATGTAACCTTCTTGTAACTTTCTTTTCTGTGAACTCAATGCAATCCTGTAGCAAACTTTATACATATTCATGTAAACAAAGTATTTGCTGCCTTTCTTTACCTAGTTAGATAAACGGTCTTACTTGCATATTCAGCCCACAGCTGCTTTTGTCATATTTCTTGTTACTCTTGTTTAGTTAGTCTGAAAATACAGTTTTATTTATATGTATTTATTTCTTTTTCTACTTTTACGGTTTCATTTATTAATAAACATGCCAATGAAAGCGACTTAGTCTTTAGAGTCTTAATCAATTTAAGGTGTTTATTTGGCTGTCTCTGAGATTATATATGCATATCACATGGACACATACTCTCAGGGGAAGAACAAGTGTGTTTCTACATATATTTAAACCCTAAATGCCTGATAATTTTAATTTGAAGTGATCTAATCTATTAATATTCCTTC